TTGGACTAAAAGTTCAAACCTCCTACTCTTAAGTGTATTTCTACTTTCCGTTGAATCTATCTATATAATATATACTTCGGGTGTGGGTTGTAATATTTAGCGCAAAATTATTTGTTAACTGTCATATCATTATTTTAAATTGTGCCCTTTAGCAATACATATTTAATGTCTATTGGCTTGAATTCTACCTTGTGCTCTCAGGATGATCATTTCTGCTTTTTTTTCGTTTGTTAATCCTCACCTGAGGACACTTTTTCCATTGATTTTTAGAAAGAGTAGAAGGGAGGGGAGGGGAGAGACAGAGAGAAACATTGATTGGTTGCTTCCTGCACGTGTCCCAACTGAGACCGGGGATCAAGACTGCAACTAAGGTATGTGCCCTTGACTGGAATGGAACCCGCGATCTTTCAGTCTGCGGGCTGATGCTCTAACTACTGAGCAACCAGCGAGGGCTCCATTTTCCTTTGTTTAGCCTTTCTGAATCATGAGTTTAGGTTTGTCTCTTGTATCTACACAATGAGCTTATTCGAAGTTTTCCTTCCACATTTTATTAGTATCACTTCTTTCTACTTTGTTAAAGTAACATTTATATATTTTCTACTTGTCACATCTTTACTTCAGTCTAATTAAATATATCCATTGCTCCTATTTGTCCTTTTGCTGAAATTTCCCATTATAATTCTTTTTAAAAATATATATATTTTATTGTTTTTTTAGAGAGGAAGGGAGAGGGAGAGTTAGAAACACCGATGAGAGAGAAACATCGATCAGCTGCCTCCTGCACAACCCCTACTGGGGATGTGCCCACAACCAAGGTACATGCCCTTGACCGGAATTGAACCTGGGACCCTTCAGTCCGCAGGCCGACGCTCTATCCACTGAGCCAAACCAGTTAGGGCCCATTATAATTCTTAAAAAAACACACACATAAAACACTCACCCGAGGATGTTTATTGATTTTAGAAAGAGGGGAAGGGGGAAGAGAGATTGGCTCCCTCCCATATGCACCCTGACTAGGGACTGAACCTTGACCTCCTGGTTCATAGGTCGATGCTCAACCACTGACCCACTCCAGCCTGGCTGAGCTCTAATTTTGTTTTTCTGTAAACATGTTACTTGAAAGATAGCTTTTCTGGATATAAAGTCCTTGATTCACATTCATTTTTTGTTGCATTGAATCTCTTCAAAATGCTGCTTCACTTTTGTTTTGCTTTGTATACTGCTGTTGAGAGAATTTTTATTGATTTATCTGTGTTTCATCTTCCTTAAGCCTCCCAGTGCATTCTCTTCATCAGATAGCAAGTAGGGAAATAAAGTGTAAGTATTCTCGACAACATAATCCATAGAGTAGGTGTGGCTATGGATGGCTTTATTTGCTGTCTTCATAAGGATAGTTCAGATGGAGATAATCAGATTTAGGTGCCTATCAGCATCCTCAAACACACTCTATTTCTGGGACGAAGGTTTTATGTCCACAGGAAAGATGGCATCAGGCCCACACATCAGAATATTGTTATTTCAGATGTAAAGATGCACCTTTCCCATCCACATTACCTGACACTGAACTGCGTCTTACACCTGGTGGCTTATCACAGACAGCAGCGCACATCTGCGCACCTGGTCCAGCTGGCAGCGCTGCTGTCTCTCTGTCCGACTTGCGTCGGCTGCTTTCCTGAGTGCACCCTCACTGCAGACAACAGGAAGGGCAGCGCAGGGCGCCAACCCTGGCCCTGTGCCCGGTGGACACGGGCTCCCCATGTCGCAGCCGCCGCCTATCTCAATAGAGCGTCCTTCCCGAGCACTTCAGAACCCTGTGTTTCTGGAAGAAATTCGGAACCTGCATCAGATTTGAGTGTTTTCCTCAGCATTTTGCCTAACTGACATTTTTTGGCATTTACATTATTGGATTGTGGTCATTTTACAGAAATAATTAAAAACATTATTTTTGTTTAAAATGTTGGTATTTTTTGAGGATTGAAGTTAAATAATGTGCTCTACCATCTTTCCCGGGAATTTATACTTTTTAGAAGTAGCAATAAACACAGCTGTTACAATTTTTACTTGGAAAGTACAAAGCAGTTTAAAAGTTACTATCCTCATCATTTATAAACTAATGGTTCTTGTATGTTTGTAGTTCTATGTGGCCAAGGCTTAAATTAGTAGGAAGGTAGGAAATTTCAGAGACATTATTGAAATTATGCAGGCTCCAGACATCTGACACCACTTTTCACAGTACTAAGAAGTTAATATTTTTCTACCTCACCCAATTCCCACAAAAATAACATCCTAGATTTGTAGAAAAGTAAAATCAAGAGAGTATTCTGTTGAATATGTTACATACACAAATAGACTCATTATCAGGAATGTAACTTTATTTTTGTTAACAAACAAACAAAACAGATTCACCCTGCGAAGAGCCCTGCACCTGTGAGCAGCAGCAGCAGCCACAAGGCCGTATGGACGAAGTACCTCAAGCAAAATCAAAACCACATTTTAAAAAGGTGTTATTTTAAAGGATGAACACAGATTATAAAAATGACATTTCTACAATTTCATTCCTTCACTGTTAGTAAGAGGGAAAAAAGGTTTAATACTTATGCAACATGGGTGCCTGCAACAAATATTCACACCACCTCACTGGGTTTGCTAAGGGAAAACAGCTGAGGTACAGCTTCATAATGTAATTTTTAGTGCTTTATATTATTTTTAGATATTTGGAATCAATCAACTGAAAAGAAAAAACTTCTCATTTTCCTTAGCTTAGACAAAGCCTGCAGTTCTATGTCCCTAGGAATCCATTCACAATATTCTAGAACATCGAGGGCATGATTCACAGGATCGTCACAATAACCCTCTTCCTAAAACAGATTACATCTCCCCGTAATAAACGGAAAGGTCAATCATGAAAACAGAATAGGATCTGATTTAAGTTCTCACACAGGAAGTCTAATGCTATTCTCTGGGTAGAGAGGCTGAGACTAGCTGTCAGAAATGACTTAACGGCAATACTTAGTGTTTGTAAGAATTTTAGGATTCAAATGGAATGAGAAGTTTATAATAACTGCACAGAGAAGTGTTCCTTTGTATGTTAGCCACACTGAGCGCTCAAGGCGCAGCCTGCAGCGAGGGGCGGAGCCGGACCTGCACTGGGCGCTCCCTCGGAAGCCCTGAGGAGCGTCCAGTCTTCACCAGGAGGGAGGGACAGTAACTGAAGCTCCATTTTTAAACAATGACAAGAACAAAAGGAAGAATATAAAATACTAGTATAATGAACATTTAGATAGCACTAAACAGCATGATTTCACACAGTTGTATGCTTTCACCAGTTTTCCTTAAAAAACAACCATCAGTTCCTGGGCTTTTAGATGTTTTCTTTGTAAAAATAACCAGCATCCTTCGCATGGTCATGCCGAGGCCGCAGCCACCGCGCCCGATGCCCAGTCAGTCGGTGCAGGCCTCCGACGCGTGGCGAGGCTGTGTGCGGGCGGCCAGCCCTGAGCCTCCGGGACTAGACCAGGACCGCCTGGGCTACCTCCTTGATCGTGGCCGCAGCTTTCTCCAGCTCCTCTTCCGTCTGCTCCACGGTGACCACCACCCTGATGCTGCGAGATGGGGAAGGACACAAAACGTCCCCTGCTCAGCCTGCCGCCCGTTCTCACCACGACAGCAGGTGCGGGTGGGACAGGGCCCTGGGTCCTGCAGGCCCCAAACATCAGACACCACCTGTCACCGGAGCTCGTGGCTCCTGCCTGGACGGTTAGTGTGTCTACTCCACGTGACCTGGCAGGGGGCTCCGCGACACCAGGAAACCGGTCTTTATTACATAAACGACTGCTTCAGCAGTCCCAGACCCCAGGCCAAAGTTCCAATTAATGGACTGTCTGGTTGCTCCTGTCGTAATTCAGTAAGTCATGTGGAAGCTCTACAATACTTTGCAGCAAGGCAAACATTTTCAAATTTGCAGAAAATTGAAGACAAATAGCTCCTCTGAGCAGTTCTACCTCTGTCCCCTACAAACATCTACTGTATCGACTGGACACATTTGCTGAGCTGCACTGTGCTGGGCATAGAGCCCAGGGCATAAGGCCAACACGGCCCCTGTCCTGACACTCAGTCACACCTCTGCCTGGGCGCAGCGAGGAAGGAGGGCAGCGTCCTAAGGGTGCTTGTGAGCTGTTGCTGGGGGCCTGCAGACCCAGTGCCCCGTCTCTGGCTCCCATGTACGAGGCCCCCCAGGATGGCTCCAAGCTCGCTCCTGCTGCTGCCTTTCACGCCCGAGCTCTGGCTCCCACCTGCACCCGGGGGCGCCATGCCACGTACACTCTACTCCCTCTGGAAGGCTCCATGCCCACCAGGTCGTCTGACATATTCGATTTTCTGGGCTCAGCTTACACGTCAGCTGCTCTCGGAAGCCCGAGTCCCTCCCAGGCCTACTTCTCTGTGACCTCACTGACCCCATGCCGTGCCCTGCAAACCATGCCCCAGCGTCTCCCTCCTTCACTGCACTGGACGCGGACGGGGGTGGGGTGGGGGGGGGTGTTGTGTTAAACCAGGAGTCCAGGCGCATCCCCACGCTGGCTTCCGCCCCTCCGATCCCGCCACTGCTGTTTGCCTGGGTTCTGTAAGGGTGTGTGGACACTGCCGCACACCGTGTGCTGTGAGGGTGGGAAGTACCTGCCATCTCAGTTCTTGGGACCTCAGACATTTCTCAGTCAACTAGGAGGGCACTGTGAGTCCTGGGGGCTTTTCAGTTAAAATGTGAAAACATCTAGTCTGAAAACAGACAACAGCTGATGTACTCTATTTTAATGATAAACATTCTTCCTCGCCCTTTCAAAAACTTCAAACCATGACACATCTCACCCAGATGTTAGAGAAGGAACAAAAGTGAGGCCATACTTCAACGTCTACCAACCTTGGAGGCGGGAGGCACTTCTCTTCTCTCTCCAGGTAGCGCGCCTGGGTGAGGGCGATGCTCCGGTCCATGCACTGCAGGAAGAGGGCAGTCAGCCACAGCAGGCGCAAGGGGCACCCCTGTGGCAGGTCTAGCGCCCGGTCCGATGCCAACGGCTGGAGACCAGTGAGGGCAGCACCGTACGCGGAGCCCTCCACCACCCACCACGGCGGGAGCCCGCGTGGCCAGCAGGACTTAAAGATATGGCTGGAGCCACCAGAGACGGAGCGTTAGGTCGACTTCATTGACATGTAAACGGCCACAGTAGCTGGTAGTCATTTCAGACAAAGCAGAGTTGGGACAGGGGCACATGCCAGCAAAGCCCGCAGGATGGACTGGGCCTGGTGCCAGCAGAGCGTCTAGAAAGGGCTCGGAGCTCGACTCTCTCTGACCGCCTGCTCCCCCTGGCCAGCGCCCGGCCCGCCAGGCGGCTGCACACGTCTGAGGCCGCTCTCCAGGCCGGCGTCACCTGCTGACACTTTGGAACTGGAAACACAATCTATCAAAACGATGGCATAACGAATCAGAGGAAGGGAGCGCGTTACCGTGGTTTCTCCTTTGGGGTGACGAAAGCGTTTGGAGTCGAGTCAGACGTGTAAAAAAGCGCACGTGGCGGCACAAGGAGTGACCTGTGCGTGGCGGCCAGGCAGCCGCAGGAGGGGCATTCTCTAAGTGGCAGGGCAGGGTTTCTGAGGGGCAAGGACGGGCACCCGGCAATGGCACGGGCTGATCTGCGTCCAGAAGTGGACACCTGCCCGGCTGCCCCCAGCCTGGCTAGTAAGAAGCATCCAACCCACCTCAGTGTGTACAGACCAACTCGACAAACCCTGTTAGTTCTACAAAGCTTAAGGCTCACAGCTCCGGTCTCCTGTCCTTCAGGCACTGGGAAGAGGGAGGAGGGCGGGACCACCGGCCCTGAGGTGGAACCTGTGGCGAGGCACCCACGTGAGAGCTCTGCCCGCCTCCCACATGCGCGTGGCAGACAGTGCCGTCCCCAGAGCCCTCCCTGCTCCCTTGCTCGCCCACCGTGGCTGGAAGACAGCCCGCCAGGCTCTCTGCTAGAGGGCGATCTCGCCGCCCTCCCTCCCGTCTTGTCTCTGCAGGGACAGCGAGATACACAGCCGGAGTGGGGCTCTGGTCCCGGCCCGAGGGAAGGCCCATGTCCCGCACACACACGTGCAGAGAACGGCGCCATGAACCCCAACGCGGTTCCAGGCCCATTCTGCAGCGGCCACTCCTGCCTGGGAAGCTAACTCACCGCACAGGAAGGCCCTGTGATCGCACTGACCGCCTGGCTTGTCCCTTCGGCTGGTGTTTAAGCTAGAACCTGCTTTGGTATCACGGGTGCTGTCACTCCTCCTGTCTGTACACTTATAACAACACCGAGGCAGGCACTGGCTGACAGGACGCTGGTCCCTTGAGAGCCTGTCTTTTTCACGTCTGTGGAGCTGTCTGACCGGAGGGGACAGCTGTGACACTGCCTCCCTCGGCAGGTGAGAGCACTCCAGCTTCATCAGGGATCTCACGTTCTGCGTCTGGTGAGACCGTTTTTTAAGAGGACTGACCCCAGATGGCCAGATTGCAGGAAGCTGTCCAGGAACCTGTGGTTCCAGGTGATGTGGTACACACACCGCAGGACGCAGGACATCTGAGGCAAGCTGTGAGCCAGAGGTGGCCGCACACTGCGCCCATCCTGAGCAGCCACACGGCAGCTGGCAGCCGGCAGCCGGCAGCCATCACACTCGCTGATGCCGGGCGGAGGGATGCGGAGAGAGCAGGTGGAGAATAGCGTGCAGCCCGTCTCACTCCCGTGTGTGCTCCCGATGGAAGTGCAAGGCATGCAGGCTCCGGAGCCGCAGGGCCCCTGGGCATTTCTGCGGGGAGCAGCATGGAGGGAAGTGGGGGCGGGGTGGGGGGGCTGCTGAACAGAAAAGGGCAAGTGGTCTTCCCCAGGGGTCTCTTCTTGGTTAGTAACCGAGTTACAATTAGTAAACTGCCTCTCAGACATTAAATACATTGACACCCAACTTAGCCATGGCTACCAAGTGGCCTTGCGTTACGAGGTCACTATGGCCTGTTCCTGAGCGATGCTGGGATTCACCCTGACAGTCAGCTGTCCAGTGCTGCCTGGGGTCACTGCACACCATGCGGCCCCACCACGTGTAAGAAAGCCTGGTGCTGTACATGGTGAGCAAAAGGGTTTTCTGGAAGGTTAGTGACTCAGTAGAAGCAAGAGTATTTTACATGTGAATACAATGTGGCCCAGAACACAGCGTCCCCAGTGCAAGCTGAAACCACCAGCGGCGTGAGCTGTCCCTGTCAGACATGCTAGACTCAATTGGGGACGAGCACCATTCCGTGAGGGGGACCACGCTCTCCCATTCCCCCGACCCCGGGGCAAAGAGAGCGGTGAAATGACAGAAAAGGCTGCTCGGGTCAGGGAGGCGTGGGGCAAGCAGAACCGCTGGGAGGGCTGGCACTCACCTGCCGGACGATCTCCTGCAGCAGCTTGGCGTCCTGCTCACGGGACCCAGTGCTGGCTTCCAGCTGCAGGTGGAAGGCTGGGGACAGGGCCTCCCCCACCACTTTCAGCCCAGAAATGCTGGAGGGGAGACACGCACAGTCAGAGCCCCACCCCTGCCAGCTCGGCGTCTCCACACAAGTAACTGCCCACGGTCTGCACTAGTGCACGCCACTCACACTGACTGTTACAGGAACCTCGGAGGGGGGATTCCGGTTCAACCAAAGTCAAATGCGTGCTCTGGCAGTGCTCGCAGGCCAGGACCCCGCCTCGCGCTCCTGAGAGCGGGCTGGGAGGAAGGACCCGGCTGCTGGACACCTCTGGGTCACATGTCACAGGCTCAGGTGGCCCCTCCTCAGGTGGCTCCTCATGGGTCCTGAGCCCCTTGGCCTCTGCCCTGCTGTTTCCTCTCCTCACCTGCTCTCTCCCACCCTCCGGTGGCCAACGCTGGTCGCTCCTGGTCTCAGCTGTCACTCCCAGTGCAGGGAGGGGCTGCACCATCATGCTCTACACCAGTGGTTCTCAACCTTCCTAATGCCATGACCCTTTAATACAGTTCCCCATGTTGTGGTGACCCCCAACCATAAAATTATTTTTGTTGCTACTTCATAACTGTAATTTTGCTACTGTAAACAATATATAATTACATATGTGTTTTCCGATGGTCTTAGGCGACCCCTGTGAAAGGGTCGTTCGACCCCCAAAGGGGTCGCGACCCACAGGTTGAGAACCGCTGCTCTACACCAAGCATGTCAAACTTGTGGCCCACAACGAATATTTTTGCGGCCCAGCCAATATAACGGTATGTAAGAATGTTTTAATAAAAATTTCATAACTTAATTTTTACAATATCCTGTTATACGTAATCCTATCTAATAGACAAACATGGTAATTGACCATACCTTCCATATGCCTCCCATTGGCTAATCAGCGCAATATGCAAATTAACCACCAACAAAAATGGCGGCTAATTTGCATACTGCAGGCAGGCGGGTAGCGCAACGGCCAGTACAGTAGACATCCCAGCCGCAGCCGGCCCCAGAAGCCCCAGAACCCGTTGATAGGGGGGAGATGGGGGTCCCCTGGACAGACCTGACGCCTCTGGCAGAGGCGTCAGGCCTGGGCAAGGGGCCAATCCAGCGGTCGGAGGGTGATGGAGGTCGACGCCTCTGGTTGAGGCGTCAGGCCTGAGCGGGGGGCGGAGCCGGCAATCGGAGGGGGTCCCCTGCCCAGGCCTGACGACTGGGCCAGAGGCATCAGGCCTGGGTGAGGTCCGAGCCGGTGATCAGGGGGATATGGGAGTCCCCTGCCCAGGCCTGAAGCCTAGGCGGGGGGCGGAGCCGGCAATCGGAGGGGTCTGGGGGTCCCCTGACCAGGCCTGATGCCTCTGGCCGAGGCGTCAGGCCTGGGCGAGGGGCCAATCTGGCGATCAAAGGGAGATGGGGGTCCCCTGTCCAGGCCTGACGCCTGGGCCAGAGGTGTCCGGTCTCGGCGGGGGGTGGAGCTGGTGATGGGGGGGAGATGGGGGTCCCCTGCCCAGGCCTGAAGCCTGGGCCAGAGGCGTCAGGCCTGGGGTGGGGGGGGGGTGTGGAGGGGGGTCCAAGCCGGCAATTGGTGTGAACTACAGAGGAAACACCTTTTCTCACCGCTCATTGGTTAAGCTCCTTGTATGCCCCTGGTAATATTCTTAGTAACTTGGATAATAAGAATCCAAAAAGGTGATCTAGGGTTTTTCACCACACTCCTGGCTAAAAAAAACGAAGGTCCGCTGCTGGAGGGCTAAGAAATGTCATATTCTGCCCCAGCCGGTTTGGCTCAGTGGATAATGCCTTGGCCTGCCGATGGCAGGGTCTGGGTTCAATTCTACCAAAGGGCTTTTATCTAGGTTGCAGGCTCCTCCCTGGCCAGGGCCCAGGTCAGGGCTCACGCACGAGGCAACCAATCAAAGTGTTCCTCTCACTTTGATGTTTCTGTCTTTCCCTTTCTCTTCCACATTCTCTAAAAATCAATGGAAACATATCCTCAGGTGAGGATAAAAAAAATAATAAAGAAATCCTATATAATAAAAGGCTAATATGCAAATCGACCGAACGACGGAATGACTGGTTGCTATGACGTACACTGACCAACAGGGGGCAGATGCTCAATGCAGGAGCTGCCCCTGGTGGTCAGTACACTCCCACAGGGGGAGTGCCACTCAGCCAGAAGCCGGGTTCACGGCTGTTGAGCACAGCGGCAGTGGTGGGAGTCTCTCCCACCTCCACCCGCAGCGCTAAGGATGTCTGATCCCCCGAGGGCTCCTGGACTGCAAGAGGGCGCAGGCCAGGCTGAGGGACCCCCCTGAGTGCAAAATTTCGTGCACTGGGCCTCTAGTTGTTATATGAAAGACACATCTTGAAAATGCCTAAAGAAAGTTGTCATTTTTTCATGGTGAAGGGACTGGAGTCCGTGTTGATGAAAAAACCTTTCTGGCTGCGGTGACTGGCAGTGGCTGCAGCAGCAGGGTGATGGGGCTGGTGCCTTCCCCTGATAAGCCCGGTCACCTCCCACAAAGGGAGGCCAGACTGCGGCTTAGGCCCTATCCCCAAGGGGAGCAGGGAGAGGGCCTAAGCCATCACTAGGACATCCCCTGAGGGTTCCCAGTATCTGAGAGGGGGCAGGCTGGGCTGAGGGACACGCCCCCCCCAGTGCTCGAATTTCGTGCACCGGGCCCCTAGTTATTTTTTTAAAAATATATTTTATTGATTTTTTACAGAGAGGAAGGGAGAGGAATAGAGAGTTAGAAACATCGATGAGAGAGAAACATTGATCAGCTGCCTCCTGCACACACCCTACTGGGGATGTGCCTGCAACCAAGGTACACGCCCTTGACCGGAATCGAACCTGGGACCCTTGAGTCCGCAGGCCGACGCTCTATCCACTGAGCCAAACCAGTCAGGGCGAGGGCCCCTAGTTATTAATAATGAACTACAATGTTCGCTAATGACTGGTTACTATAATCGTGTTGCATTCATTTCCCTTACACGCCTTACGTGCAGGCACACCATTTCTCTCCACTAATACTAGCAGTGAATATTTTAGCAGCTGATTGCCATGTCATTAGTCTTAGACTGACTTGTTTGGTGTGCACAACAGGAAATATTTCGCTTTCGGAGAACAAGAAAAATAGGTTTATTTCCATTATGCTTATTAATTTGTGCAGTTATTCAGTGTCTGGTAAGTTAATGTTCAAGAAAAAATATTAATTTTTATAAAAATGTTCAGTTATTTTATGTTAACGATGAATCATTTATTTCAGCCCTTTGTATTCAACACGTCTCTATTGAAATAAACCTATGTTTCTATGAAAACTGAAGCTTTATTTTTTTGCAGCCCACATAAACTTAAACCTTGTTTATTTGGCCCGTTAGCCTTTGAGTTTGACATGCATGGTCTACACTACTGTCTCCTTCCCTCCTCCGACTGCGCATCACCACTGGTAACACTGTGTCCTTGCTTATCATCTAAGTCTTTAGTCTGAATCTCATCTTTAATCTTATAAATTACAGGAAGAATTGCTGACATTGACAATGGTATAATCTGACCACCAGCAATATGTTTTGATTGAAAAGTGTCCTTATTTGCATGTTTAATTTTAAATTTTACTTGAGCTAACACTTATGTTCCTCCTTCTTAGGAAACCTCTCTCAGGGAGAACGGTTTTAAGGGTGATTTTGACCCATCTCCTGGCACCAATAGTAATGCATGTTTATGTGACACTAGAGGCCTGGTGCATGCCTCAGCCCTGCCTGCACCCTCTCATAATCTGGGACCCCTCACTCCTAACCGCTTGCCTGCCTGCCTCACCCCTAACCACTCTGCCTTCCTGCCTGATCGCCCCTAACCACTCTACCTGCCTGCCTGATCGCCCCTAACCATTCGCCTGCCTGCCTGACCGCCCCTAATTGCTCGCCTACCTGCCTGTTTGCCCCTAACCACCTCTGCCTTGGCCCCTGCCACCGTGGCTTCGTCGGAAAGGAGGTCTGTCTGGAAGGTCGTTCAGCTGTCCGGTCTAATTAGCATATTACGCTTTTATTATTATAGATTAGGCTAAGCACCTTGGATTGCTCTCATTTATTTTGTTTCACCCGAAAAGACTTATCCTTCCCTCAGAATGAAGTGAGCACAGAAAGCACCTGTAGCATGCCTGATTCCTCAGATAGGTTAGGACTCCACAGCTTTACTAGTAGCCTGTCCACCACACGCCAAGCAGCATGCGCCCTGCTGGAAGGAACCTTGCCCGGCCTCAAACCTCCCTGCACATTATTGAACTGCCTCCTTTCTTTGAATGTCACGCGCCGTGCTATGACTTCTCAATAAGCCAGGCTGCAAACTGGAATCATGGAGTCTTAGAATCTAGGGCTTCTGGATTGTGGAGAACCTTCTAGATTAGTTTTCTTTATTGATATACAAGCAAAATAATATGCGTTCAAAACCCATATCCTATGTGAACTCCGAATGTGTTAAACTTGTCCATAAGAAAGTACCAACTGTTTTTAGGTCATATATTCTCAGGGGGACTTTAATGAAAAGGCCCGGGTTTTCCGTAATACACACAGGACACCTATAGCCCACCTGAGCCCGTGCTTCAAACAAAGGGCTCGCTCACCCAGCAGGTGGGCAGGCTGCTGGGAGAAGGAAACGCAGTGCCCTCTCTCTGGCTGCCACGACTGAAGAGCAGATGAAAGTGTAATTAAAACCAAGTGGACACAGAATTATAGCCTGAGCTCAGAAGCTTAAAAACTTGTTTCAGGGCCTATTCAACTTTTTAAATAAAATTCTGGAAAGCATATTATTTTATCAAAATGTTTAAATACTAAGCACTGGCTGGGTGCCAGGACAGAGCAGTCAACCTTTCAGACGAGGCCCGTGCGTGCCCCCAGCCTGGGGAGGGCTGGACACAGTGTCTGTTGGAACACAGCCACTCGTGTCCCAGGATCAGACGAGCACAGGCCGCTGCCTTCTCCCAGGTGCGCAGCCTCTGAGATGAGGAGGAGGATCACTGATTAGAGGGGACTCACAAAATTACATGGAAGTGACCC